TTTTGTCATTTTAAATTAATTATTTTTCTGTTTATGTTAAAGCAGGTATGAAAACTTTTTCTTTTAATGAGAACGAATTTCATTCGAAATTACTGTTTAATTTTTAATTTTTAAATTATTTACTGGTAACGCTTCTGAATTTCCTTTATGCCATTTCGTTTAGTAGCGCAGTAAATAAAAAAAATCCAATTTACACCACCCCAGACTCGACTACGTAAGTAATTAAAAATATTCATTGCCTGAGAGTGTACTCAAATTGCCCTTTTGCTATGTCATAACTCTATTGAGTTATGCACTCTTTAAACGTTGCGGCCCTTTTGGGAAAGTTTCACTATTTCACGATGCAAAGAGTGAGAGAGAGAGAGAGAGAGAGAGAGGATGAAATGTCCTTTGAATTATTTAATTTAGTTAGAACTCCGCGTTCTGGTAAAAGTAATGAATTTCTCTCTCCATCTTTCTCTCTATTTATTTTTGTCCCTGTTCAATAAAGTAGACCGTCAATATTACAAATTATTTCATTTTTATTTGCCACTTGTACGATTTCAATTGTAAACGAAGCCAAGTGGTTTTGCCGCGGAAAGTTTTAATTGAAAACTGCGGTGCAAGAGTGTTACAAAAATTTTACTGTTTTGTGTTGTTATAAACCTAAACACGAACGTTTTCGAAAGCAAGTTTAATTGTTCAAAAACATGGCATAAGCTAAAAGTAATCAGATTTTTATTCCTTTTTTTGTTTTTCAACTAAACATGAATTTTACTTTGTGTACCTGCTTATTGCTGGGACCATATGGATTGCGATGTATTAATTAAGTTTCTTTTAATTAATTTTAATTAAAAGTACGATTACTCAAGTCACCTAATTTAATAAGGAAAAGTGGCTAGATGAACGTTAACAGTAAAGATGTAATCAAATTAATAGTTCAAATAGCCAGGCTCGTAGCTAGTTTTTTTTAAAAATTTGCGAACTCACCTTCTAATTTAATAACACCATCAGTTTCGCCTAGTGAATTCTTCGCTACACACTTGTAGGAGCCAAAGTCGTTAATGTTGACATTTTTAATCTTTAGCATCATGTACTTCTTATAGCCATTTTCCATAACGTTCGCTATGTACTTTTCTCCTGCTAGTCAATCGAAAGGAAAGCTTATAAGTTAAATAAATCGACGGATTTGAATAGAATGTAGCACGATCTTCTTTTACTCAAGTTGACGTAGAATAGGGGATCATAACAGGTCAGATCAGGTGAGGTTAGGTTAGGTTGGGCTAAGCTTGGAGCAAGTTTAAATTAAAATGACGTAGATGATAAGTATGCTGGGTTAGATTAAGTTAAGTTTGAGACCGCTTCGGTATTACATACTGTAGGTAGGGGGAGGGCTTTTGCAAAACGTTATGGAGGGTTATAGCGGGATAGGGGGTAAGAAATCTTCAGAATCTGCAAAACGTATTATTTGCACGGACCCTTTCGATGAAATTTAAATTGTACAGGGTTTGTCCGGAAAGTAATAGGACTGATTTTCTTCCGCCGCGACTGTACTTCGGAGCATGCGCGCACCGACTGGATTCGGTAGAGGGCATTCCTAGCTAACGAACGAGCGGCTGGTGAGTTGTCTCCGAGCACCTGGAGAGTCAGAACAGGCTTTTTCGCGCGACGTGTTTCTGGAAGTTAT